CAACCACTAATAATTTGTCAAAATTTCCATTTTCATGTTCCTGCTAATTTGATGGCTTCATTGGTTTCTGCTCCAAATAAACTGAACTCATCTGTGACTCTGAATTCATCTCTCTCGATTTTGAGGTGGCAGTTTGCTCTGTGACCACAAATGGTTGCTGAATCGTAAGAAGAGTCAGTGATTTGATTTGTTCTCCTCCCCATCCCCTTTTTTCTGAGGATGTGCACTTTATTTTAGTGCTAGTATTAAAAATGGAAGATCCAACTTAATGTTAAACTGAACCGAGCCACATTCCAATCCAGAACCTGTTATATAAATACCTGTACCATTACTTTACCCTTCCTGAGCCTCAGTTTCCTCATCAATTAAAAAAAGAGTAAACATACAAAGTTAAGTGACATTTAAATGAAAGAGATAGATGATCAAGGACCCATTAAATCTTTTTTCCATTCCATAAGGGCATCTATTCTTTTCAAAATGCTACCATTTTTTACCTCATCTCAGTGTGTGGCATTTATTTCTATGGATGTCATCAGGTCTTCTTTTAAGAAGAATCTGCTATTCTTCTTTAAAACTGCCTTGGAAATAATTACCTCTTCCTATACTCCTTTTTCTAAGTGGTACAGCACTGGTATGTCCACTTGCTGTACAGAGGTAACTGGTGGCTGCTGTGAAGCTGAACACTGTGACACTGATGTGTCAAATGCGATAATGGTTACCCATGGTGGACAGTGTTTGGTGGAGTTTCCTGACTAAAACAAGCTTGGAAGCAGGAGTGGCATCCACTTCTGAAATAGCTTGCCTCCGGAAACCCTGTGAACCTAGAGAAAGGATGAAAGTAATACAAGTATTGAGGTTTTTCATTCATATAGGGTTGCTATGAGTCATCTATGACTCGACGGCACTTAACAACAACAACAACAACATACTTTTTATCATTGTGTAGGAACCAATTCTTAGCTGATCCTCCTCTGGTTTTTCAGAGGCTATAAATACATGGGAGGAGTTGCCCATCTTCTTCCTGAAGAGCTGCTAGTGGATTTGAACCACCACAGAGATGGTGCCTTCGGGTTAGCTCTGCAGTTCACCGCCAGCTGTATTCTTAAAGTCTTGAAAAGCGTTCATGGTGCATTTTTCCCTCTCTTCCCACCACAAGCATACTCTTATTTTTCTCCTTTTTAAAATTGAATATCTATCCCCCTGATGAAAGGACCCATAGAAACATTTCCTTCTAGCTAGATATGATGAATACAGCAGCCTCAGCTTGAGATACTACGGATGGTCATTTTGCTCCTTTGATTACATATATGAAGGAATTATTGAGGAAGATATTATTATACCAGTGAAAGTGAGGCAGTAGCCTGCCTGCTTACTGCGTGTGAGAAATTGTGACACTCTTTGTGCCTCATCCTTTAAGGGAGATGTGGACAACACTATTCAAATAGTGGTCACCAGGATGGTGATGAGGCCATTTAGAAACTGTCCTCTTTCTTCTAGGATATATTGTAACGAAATTAATTAGAATTCTTCAGTTGTATAATTTATCTATTTGTTGTTTTTAAAAAAGGCTTTAGAATATTTCCTGGTCAGTTCCAAATGCTGCACAATAACTTTTCTTTGACATTGTTTGTTCTATACTTTCCTGGACATAACTCTTGATTTCCCAGGGGAGACTGAAGAACACCTCACCAGCCGATGTGTACATTATTATCTGAAGGTGGGGAGAAATCAGTGGGCTGAACTTCCTTGTAGTGGTTTCAGCCCTTGGCTTCGTTTTATGAAACCTCAAGTTGTCAAAAAAGAGCTGAGCAACACTTTTCACCTAGTGTGGTTTCTTAAGGGTCCCCCTGGAGCTTTTGCTTGAGCAGTTATGGTTTGGTCTGTTGGCCTGTGATACACAAGCGAGGGGGCTGAGTGATACCCAGAGATGTGCTAAGTGGTTTCCAAGCTGGGGAAGTCAAGAGGGGAGTTTGTGTTAGCTGGAGGTTAGGTGTGAACCTCTAGTCCTTGTCTCCCACAGCAGGCCTTGTTATTCTTTCAGCAGATGAGTCCATGATTTTTTGGGTAATTTTCTTTTCCTATTGATCCAGCAGTGCTAGGAACAGAGACTAAAAAAAGACGAAAAGCAACAACAAAAACCCCACAGGTGATGATGATATGTCAGTCTACGGACATTCCCTGTCATATACTCCATACATTAGAGATTGAACACACTCTAGGGAGCTCTGGTGGCTTAGTGCTAAGAAGCTGCACTGCAATTCCAAAGGCACGCAATTCAAATCCACCAGTAGCTCTTCTGTTGAAAGATGGACAGTCTCCTCCTGTGTGTTTTATTGCCTCTGAAAACCTGCTGGAGAGTCAGCTATGAGTTGATCCCACCTCTACAGCACACGCTACCACCGACATACCTGAGTACCTGAGCTGATTTCCTCCCCACTTTTTTGCCTTGTAGAGAATTTGTCATAGGATAGATTCAAAGATTAAGATCCACAGTGATAGCATCTCTAGCAGTCTTTCCCCCCCCTTTTTTTTATCATCTCATTCTTCCCCAAGGACTCTTGTGCTGACATATTGTGCGCATGTGCGCGGGCTGACATGAAGGACTTGTGCTGACATTTCTTTCTGGTAGCTTTCCATCCATGGTGGGAGAAAAAATGGGAATATAAGGGCTCTAAAATAGAACTTAGCATCTACAAAGTTGAGTTTGTGTATTGACTAGGGAGTTCTAGTAGCTTAGAGGTAAGGAACTCGATGCAAAGGTGTGTGATACAAATTTACTAGTTGTTCCCTGGAAGAAAGATGGGTAATCTCCTCTCATGTGATTTACTGCCCCTGACACCCCACGGGAGGGTCTGCAAAGGTTCAGTTCCAGTTTGATGGTACTCCACAGCAACAACAACAACAACAATGGACTAAGACCCGCTAGAGTGTAACCGTAGCTGGGAGACTTAATTGGCTCCTATTTTGCAGCTATATGGCCTTGTAAATGTGCTTTAACTCTGCTGAGCCTCCATTTTCTCATCAATAAAATGAGGATCTCAGTAACGAATTCAACTGATGGTAATAAACTTGAAATGTGTTTTAAATAGAGACATTTTGTAAACCCTCAACATAACTTTTAAGGTGAAAATAATCACTTGTCTCCATTTACCCAACCACTTATTTGGAGACCCTCAGTAGCACAGTTTGGCATTCAACTGTGAACCAAAAGATTTTGTTGGTTGGGATCCACCAAGAGGTGTGTTGGAAGAATGGCCTGGAGAGGTCTCTCTGAAACATCACATCCTGTGGAGTTCAGCTCTATTCTGAAACAATAGGGTAATGTGCCTCCATTATCTAGCTTGCTAAAATGAACATGTGTGAATACTTTCATGAATGACTTTTTACAAGTGGAACATATCTTGGTTTTGGCCAGTGTTTAGACTCTGGCATTGGAAACATGTCATTCAGATATGGCATTAGGAAGAGATTGTTAAAAGATGCATAGACTTTGCAGACATTGCTCAGTTGTTTTCAAACAAACAAAACAAAGCAAAGCAAACATGTTGCAAGAGATGGAAAGGAAGCTTGTCTTTCCCCGGTGAGCTTGGAAGCCCAGTAGGATTGATTGTACAGGCACGTTCAGCATGGCTGAGCATGTCCCAAGCCCAAGGGAAGAATGACAGGAGCTCATTCTTATGAGGGATCTGGAGCAGATCGCAGGAGCACGGCTAGGGCGGACATCTGCTGCAGGGGACTTGAGATGTTGGACTAAGTCTTTCCAAGGAGATGTTGTGTGGTCTCCCTAGTAGTCTACTAGGGGCAATAATTAGATTTTCCAGAGCTCATGAATTGGAACCATTTGGAGTACATCTCTCATAGACTTCTACATTTTGGGAGGCACTGGGCAAAATAGGTACAAAGTTATTTTTAAAGATCTCAGGAAACTTGGTTATTTTTGTTATGTTTCTTTTTTTTTACTCTTGTCTGATTTCTTGAAAATCCCATTGTGTACTTGTTTTCCAATCCCTCAAACAAATGTGGAACTCTGATTGTTTGGGATGATTTGTGTCTGAAATGTTTCATTTGGGAGAAAATGAGATGGCAACATTATGTTGTTCTCGCTCTGAAACCAATGACACTAATAGGGCCGCGTGCCACGGGTTCGGGGCAGCAGATGCAATCGTGAAATCTAGGGCTCTGTGGAATCGACGAGTTTTCCAAACCATGTGGAAACTGCACTTCACAGAGAAGCTTAGCAGTTACCCTTCCAGGCGTTCTACTTGTAAATACCAGAGGTGTTCTTCAGTATCAAATATATAGATGAGTGCATGGATTGGTTTTTTCCATCCACATAATATTCATTCAGTGGATAAATTTCATTTCCAGGCCTAGCAATCTGTCGGCTTGTTCTCTTTAAAGCTGTCTGGAGATAAAAATAACACATTCTCTCTCTCTCTCTCTCACACACACACACACACACACACACGCACACACGGATTAAGTCCATGATCATTTTTATTCTTGGCTAAGTAGTTACTTCCTCTCTAAGGACGTGAAGGCATAAATTGCTCTGTGAGTTTATACAGTGTATGGTGTGTTGTCAAATATTTATCTCTGTCTCAAAATGAAATGTCTTGAAATACAATTTCTTTTTTTAGTGGAATAAATCAGTGTGCACGCACGAGAGAAATGACTTCTCATTTAGGCTGGTTTTAATCAATATTTTCACAAAAGGCCAAAATGGTAACGGGATCCTGGCTTCTGCCATTTGAAATATAATTTGTGTGTTTAAGAATGTATGTGCATATCTCAATTTGAAGTGCCTGTTCTGAAACGGAAATTGATTTATAGGAGGAGACGACTACAGAAGTGGAGACATCGCCAGCAATGAATACGAGTCAATTAGTTAAGGCAAATGCGATCTTAATCACCCTAGCAATAGAACAACCTCGAACTCAGTTGCACACTAGTTTTTCAGGCTTTAATGCACGCATCTTTGTGTATCTCTTCTTTTGCAGAGGCCTTTGAAATTGTTGTTCGCCATGCCAAGAACTACACCAATGCTATGTTCAAGAACAACTACCCAAGCCTGGCCCCACAAGCTTATGAGTTTGTGGGTGAATTTTTCACAGACGTGTCTCTTTACATCCTCGGCTCCGACATCAATGTGGATGATATGGTCAATGAGCTCTTTGACAGCCTGTTTCCTGTCCTCTATACCCAGCTGATGAATCCCAGCCTGCCTGAGTCAGCGCTGGACATCAATGAATGCCTCCGAGGGGCCAGGCGTGACCTGAAAGTCTTTGGGAATTTCCCCAAGCTTATCATGACCCAGGTTTCCAAGTCACTGCAAGTCACTCGGATCTTCCTCCAGGCCTTGAATCTTGGGATCGAAGTGATCAACACCACCGACCACCTGAAGTTCAGTAAGGACTGTGGCCGAATGCTCACCAGGATGTGGTACTGCTCTTACTGCCAGGGACTGATGATGGTCAAGCCTTGCGGGGGCTACTGCAACGTGGTCATGCAAGGCTGCATGGCGGGCGTGGTGGAGATTGACAAGTACTGGAGGGAATACATCCTGTCCCTCGAAGAGCTGGTCAATGGCATGTACAGAATCTACGACATGGAGAACGTCCTGCTCGGCCTCTTCTCCACGATCCATGATTCCATCCAGTATGTCCAGAAGAATGGAGGAAAGCTGACCACCACTGTGAGTACCAGTCTACACTTTACACAGTAATTGGGTTCTAGTGGGTTGAGGTGACCTGGCGCTCAGAAGAACAGTGGGGGAACAATTTTTGAGAGTGGTTGGGGTGACACAGAACTGGCCAGTGTGTTAAATGCATACATTGCTGAGTCATAAAGCCTGGCTTTAAATTTTTGTGCCACTCATTTCCTTTGCTGGAGAACTTTGGATGACTCATTTTATCCGCACACGTCTCCTTTTTCTCTTTTATAAAATTAGAGTAGTTAATATGCTCTTAATGAGGAAAAATTTGTGTAAAAAAGCACTTAACACATGGAAGGTTTGAATAAATGTTAACTATTATTCTCATCATTGCTGCCAGGTGGCCCAGTCCTTGCAGCAAGCCTGTGAAGTTAAACCTGTTGTCTCCAATTCACAGATGAGGGAAGCCATGTTCACATCATGCAGATGTAGATGGTGGAGCTTTGATGCTGAAATGGATCAAATCGCCCTTTGGTGGGGTTACCAGTAATTCTTCTGAGTCAGATTTCATCCTTGAGATTGTGATTATTTACGTCACAGTAGTATTTAGGTAATGGCTTTACCCCCAGCCTACCCAGGTAGACCCCAATAACAACATCTGCGCATGTGCTTCTGCCTATACAAACTGCTTTCAAGTAGGTTAAGACTCAGCAACCTTGCACTGGGTTTCCACGGTTGTAGGTCTTTATGGAAGGAGACAGCCCAGCTTTCTCTTGGAGAGCAGCAGCTGGTGGGTGGGAACTGTAGCTTTTTCATTAGTAGCCTGATGCATTCCATACTCTGCCCCCAGGGCTCGTGTCACACCAGAGTTTAAGTGAGGGCAGAATATCTATGTTTCCCCAGTGGTAAATTTTTCGTAGCCTTGATTAGAGGGATTTGTGATGGCGCAAGGATGGTTCTGGAAGTGAGGTGGCAGCAGTTGCCTTGGATCCAGGCAGGCATTTTAGTCCCCTGGTTCCTGTCAAACTAGGGTGAGTTCGTTCTGAACCGCAGGAGGCACCCTCTACTGGATGTAGAACAGAGTATATAGCAAAGAGCTTCCAGCCAGACCCTGGCGGGTTAGTGACTGATTCCTAAATGCTGTCAGCTTTGTTGGCAGGTAGAGACAAACTTGCATTAAAAAACCCCTTAGCATTTTTGAGCTCCTACTGCATTCAAGATGCCCCACTGGCTAGTTAAGGAGTCCTGGTAGCACAGCAGTTTAACACCCAACTGCTAAGTGGTTTGAACTCACCTGCATGCCCATGGCGAACAAAGATGTGACAGTCAGCTTCCATAAAGAGTACAGCTTAGGAAACCCTGTGTTGTTATGTCCCATTGCGTTGGAACCAAAACCAACTCATAGCTGCCCTTCAGGGGGTTTTTCAGAGGCCATTTGATCACATGGACAAAGATTGTCCATCTTTTTGCCATGGAACAGCGAGTGGACTTGAATCGCGAGTGGATTTGAATCACATGGCATTGGGTTGGTAGCACAACTCCTTACCTCTAAGTCACCACAGCTCTCTAGGCAACTCTATAGAGCTGTACTATTCTTACACATAGGATCCTGGATGTCAATATCAGCTCTGTGACATTGGGCTTCCTTTTCATTTGGTACTGGACAATTTGGGTGTCTTGGATGGTACAAAGGGTAGGCACACTTGCCACTAACCAGGCTGGCAGAATAAGGTCACCCACAGTCACCTCAGAAGGAAGGCCTGGCGATTGACTTCTGAGAAACCAGCCCAAGTCCTTCAGGGAACACTGTCTGTTTGATTCTAACAAACAGGGGATTGCCATGAGTTTGAATTGGCCCAATGGCAGCTGGGAACTAGGCAATTTGCATAATACTGTCTCAATATAACCTATGAGGTTGGTGCTAATATTGTCTCCATTTTACACAGAACATAGTAGTTAAGAACTTTGTCCAAATAATAAAGCTGGTTAAATAGAGAAAGCAGGGATTCGAACCAGGCTTGGCTGACATGTGCCTTTAGCATTTATGCGGCATACCTGCTGTAGACACTGAGCCATTGCTTCCTCAGAAGGAGGCGGGCAGATCGGCCTTGTCATTAAACACTGAAAGTACGGAATGACAGGGTAATTGGTTTCTCTGGTGAATTAAAGTGGCAAAGAGGACAGAAATGATGCAACCGTTGGCATGGCTACTTACGGAGCTGCTCTAATTGCCCCATTCGCGACACTGGCCATTTAAAACGCATTTGCTGAGAAAATATTTCATAGTAAAATGAACAGAAATGTCCTATGTAACGATGGTGTTCTTCAGTGGCTAATTATTCCCTTGACTGCTTTATAATTTGAGGCCACAATCTGGGGGCCTGTTACAAAAGTAAATCTTGTAGAACAAGAAAAATAGAAGTGCCTTTATATGGTCTTCCTCCTGTGAGTGCCTGCTGTGTATCAGACACACAGTAAGGGTGCCAACGTTGCCCAGATTGTACGCATGTCATCCGTAAGTGGAAACAGGAGGAGACAAGGCAGTGTGGGGCAATGTTTCAAGGTTGCCTCTAACAGTGGTCATTTGACAGGAACAAAACTGAACTTGGACACTCATATCCTCACCTAGTTCTTGCAAGTCCCAGACATGAGGATTCAGTGGCACTAATTTGACAGAGCTCTGGTGGTGTAGCCTGTAGGGAGCTGAGCTGCCAACCCAAAGGCCACACCTCTCTGGTGGTTCAAATCCATCAGTGGCTCTGCAGGAGGAAGATGGGGAATCTTCTGTCATGTGACTTAGAGCCTTGGAAATCCAATGGCAAGTCAGTTAAGAGTAGGTTCTCATTCAGGACCACTGAGCTGTTGTCATTTTTGAGTTTAGATCAGGTGCTAGAAATGAAGATTCGTTTAGGAAGCCTTTGTTTGACTTCTGCTTTCTGCCAGGCACTTTGGTAGGTTTTAACAGTTCCTCAAAGCCCAGGTTCTTCATTCAGTCTTTGAAAGGTTACGATTTAGTTGGCAGATGGCTATAGAACCAAATACATTCTGTGTGAGTATTTCTTTAAGGTACTGGTGTTGGAAGGCTTCTGAAAAACTAACCTGGCCAACCTCATTGATTTAGAAATAAATGAGGGCCAGGAAGGCTTACCCAATGCTCAGGACCAGATCAGGCGGTAAGCACAACACGCGCTGGCTTGCACTGAGCAAGGTAGGCATGGATTTGTGTTTCCTTGCTAAGCTGTGGTGAGAATTATTAGGTGACTTTCAAAATAAGTGCACTACAGATTGAGAGATAGCATAGTTAATTGTGAGGTAAGCTATCCTTGCCAACTTCATACAATTAACAGAAAAGCCAGAATTGGGATTCAAGGTCTTCTGTTGCTCCAATCCCATGATCTTTCCACCCTTTTTCACCTTAGATCCTCTTCGACTTTTACTCTAAAAGCTCCATTAAGATCTCACAAAGACATCATTACTTTGCACTGCGTAGTTGTGTTGTGGTGCCAGATGTACTGGGTTTCAGGCATGTGCTGCATGTGCGCATGCATGTCTGCGTGAGTGTCAGGAGTGTATATTTCATGTCATTATCATTCAGGAAGAAAGGCCTTGGCTGTCAAGAGGTGCTCAGTGATGCAGACTCTTTCTGCTTTGGCCATTAAGGGCCTGATTGCTCTCAGCTCCTGGCTGGTTATGAGAGCGTGAAGTCAGGCTTCCCCCGGGAATGCCTGAACTAGACCAGAAAGCATATGTAAACTTGGCCTCGTCCCTGTTCTCTTATCACCGACTTGAAGTAAACTATACCAAACGCTGGAGGTAGAGGAGTCATTGGCCAGGTGGGATCTAGCGCCATTCTCTGTACATCCAGAAAGAGGCTGGCCTATTTATGGGTGTTAGGGGAAGTGAGGGCTGGAGAACACAATTTGGTTCACCTCAAAAATACTCGCTGAGTGCCCCAAAGCAAAAGCTGGTTACAGCGAGAAGATTCAGGAGATTCTACGGTAGCACCTTCACCCTCCTATTGGGCTAAGTCTCTGGTGGCTTACTGGTAAGCAGTTGCTTTGGTAACCCAGAGACATGAGGCTTGAAGCTACCAGTTGTTCTGCAGGGGAAAGGTGGGGAAATCCTCCCCTGCGATTAGTTTTTTGTTGTTGTACTGTCAAGTTGGAACCAGCTCATAGCTGACCCTCCAGCAGGTTTTCAGAGGCAGTAAACCACACAGGAGGAGATTGCCCATTTTCTCCATAGAGCAGCTGGTGGATTTGAACCGTGTGCCTTTGGATTGGCAGCGCCACTCCTTAGCACTAAGCCCCGAGAGTTCCCAAGTTACTTCAGACTCAGTGGTACAGCATGGATCCCCCCAGAGATGAAGCTATGATGGAGCTCACCTCTTTGAAAACATGCTCTCCTTGAGCTCTTTTTAAGAAAAATAATAATTTTTTTAAAAATTTTATGCAGGTTTACTTACAAAATTTGTGTACATTGTTTTTCCACACCCAAGGGGGCATGGGCAAGGGAGTAATCATAGGCTCCCTGAGCTCTTGAGACGGCCTCTCTCACTAGCTGCGAGCAATACCACAAAGCCTGTCAATTGAGTATTTAGCCCAGTTGTGTGGTATGGTAACGCTCATATAATGCAGAATATGAATACAGTTTTCTAAATGACTATGAAATAACCCTAATGGTATAGTGGGTTACGAGTTGGGTTGCTGGTCAAAGGTTAGTGGTTCAAATCCACCAGCCTCTTCATAAGAGAAAAATCAGCAGTTGCCTCCCATAACGATCCACAACTTCTGAAATCCAATGGAGGGTCGCTGTGAATCACAATTTAGCAGCAGTGGGAGGTTTTGGGGTTGGGTTTTTTTTTCTCTGTTTTATTTAAGAATAAATGTTAATATTTTTTTGGCCGAAAAGAAAATAAAAATGGTGTGATTATGTGTCAAAATGTGCATGTGGTGGACGTGTGTGTGTGTGTGTGTGTGTGTGAGAGAGAGGGGGGGGGGCAACAGAGAAAGACAGAGATTTAATACTAAAAATCCAAGGCA